TATATATATATCGGTATTCATGAACAACGTTATGTATTCATGTAAATCATGTATAATGTAACCTTGCGTAGGAGCGCGTGCGTCACCAACGGACCGGGCCGTTTTCCCGCTCAGTTTAGCGCAGGTCGCCCGCTTCGACAGCGTAGTAAAAAGCCGTCAGGCATGTGAAAAGAGTGTCCTTCTGCCGATTCAGGTCCCGTGCCGGCGCCGAGCCAAGGGCCCGGGGAAAATGGGCCCTGGCTCGGCGCCGGAGGATCGCCAACTGCAGACAATAAGCGCGTGGTGCAGCGACGCCTTTCCTCGTTAAAGACAGCACGCTTTACGGGAGCATTTTCCGGACGGCTTTGTCGGATGGGTGGTTCGGCTTTGGTACCAAGGACGCGTGGCTCACTGTTTGACATTTGCGTTCGTGATTGCATGGATGACATTAGGCCCCGGATTAGTGCTGACACGGAGTCCGTTGAGTGCGTCATGACAGCGTCAGTATTTTAGTGCAATTTTGGATGCAAATATGGGTTGAGCCAGTGCCAGTTGATAATCGGACTTCAACAAAAATTTCCCAATTTTTCGTTTCACAGCAAAAGCAGAAATCTTATTTTATTTAATATCGATAAATACAAAGCAGCCTTTCACCACGGGCAAAACACAACCACCCGAAATGCAACAACGCGACTATTACAGTCTGTCTTCAACCACGACGGAACGAACGGAAACCTTTTAATTGCAATAGCAACAGATGGTCAGCCCCTTCTGTTGGTCGCTGGGTCTGCTGTAAGGGCACACCACTGCAGAATCATTACAGTCCAACAAGAAAAACATGAGGTCAAAAGGAAATCACAGACAGATGAGTGAAAAAGTGACTCAAACAAAAAGAGACCTCTCATAAATCAGCTGCACTTGCTTCATCCTGCCGCGCATGCCACACCCTGCCACACCCTGCCGCACATGCCACACCCTGCCGCACATGCCGCACCTTGCCACACCCTGCCGCACCTGCCGAAATGTCAACCTCCCTCCGTGGCAGAAGTTGCGGATCGGCTTTGTGCACAAGCTAGACAAAATAATCCACATGGCCTGGACTCGAATATGATCACGAGACCAACGCTCACTCATTCCCGAGGCCAGGGCACCTATACTCCCCAGCGCCTAGCAATCGTTACGCAGCCAATTCCGCCGACAGAGACATGACCATGGGGCATTCGTGGAAAGCAAAAGAGGCATCCGTAAAATGCAAGGCCAGAATCCTTTCGTTCATCGAATTGCAGTGGCACGCCCACGCCCCGTGCCGGGGAATATCTAACCCTCCCAGCCCTTGATATTTCGTCACCTTTGAAGGTGTGGCGGGGTACGACGCCCCCACCGGTGCCACGCCCGGCGTGCTACACATAAATTCCAAGGACAGACCACACCCCGCATGTGACCCACATTCCCCTTGGTCAACTTACAACACGCCCAACAGGTGACCTGTCAGGACCTGTCAAACAAGGTCAAACCTCACGATTGTAGTCTGCAGTCTGCACCTAGCATTGTGTGCGCGCGCTTAACAAAACGTATCTACATAAGTCAAGCCATTCCACTTGCTACTTTTAAAAAGGCTGTTGCAAGGCCATTCAAGGTCGCTCCATGCCAGTGAATGATTGCACGGAGATCATCTGCAGTGAAGGTGATGTGTAATCTGTGAAGGTCTTTCAGAAAAAGTTAAAATTTAAGATCTTATTTGTGGTGACGGACTTTGAACTCCCATGACCGCTCACATATCATGGTCATTTTGGTTCTTAATGTAGTGCTTTTGGAGGCCTGAGTTGACGCCAATTTCAAAATTTGACACGATGTAACCTAGACTTTAAACGCACCTGGCAGTGGCCCCCGGCACCAATGGCAGTCAATAAATGACGCTCCCGATGTAACGCTTTACAAAATTCCAGCACCAGCGTGTGGGTACGAGATTTATTGCGGGTGCATTTAACCCTAAGAAGCGATGGTTTTTACATTTTCGCGGTGCAAATGCTTTAGAGGGAAGTCAAAATTCGGCTAAATGGCATGGGACGTACTTAAAATTTGCACTTTATGAGCGAACAACTTTGAAAGTGTACTTCCCGCATCTATTGTGAAAAGCCAAACCATTTGGAGGTACCTCCGGAAAGGAAAGGAGGGAACTACATCACCTGTGCCAGGGAAAGTGAAATTGCAAACCTAATCAAGAAGCGAGTGTACAAAGGCACAATTACGGGGGCATTTTCTCGCCCTTTTCATTGATCTTCCACCTGCTTCGCAGATCGCTGTTGACCTTCCAATAACGGACGTCTGGTTCGCAGCAAGTGATGCGACTGTGAGCTCGTTGCCACTGTCATGGCCTTGCCACTGTGAGGTCGAAGTTCCTGTGGAATTCCTGCTAAGGACTCGGTGCCATCGTGAGACTGGTTCTTACATCCCGCTTCTTCCGCACACAAGCCCTGCGTGACCTGCGAGTGCGCTACGCGGCAAATCCCCTCAGCTGACAGGCAAGTACAATGCGGCCGTCGGGGCTAAAGTTCGATTCCTGGATGCGCTAACGCGACGAACCGCGGCGGTCGTACTTGTGCTTGCACTGCACTTAGCTCCGTTCGTTGCACTCTGTCCCGAGCGCCGCAGCACACCAAAAGCCCAGCCCCGAGCCCTTCGTGCACGAGGCGGACGCAGCGGCAGTTCATCAATGACAACAGCAGGACACCGCGGAAGGGAAAGTGAACGCGACCCTCGGGCTGAGCGCTGCAGTTTTCCCCCAATCGACAGCCGTCGGCCGCTTCCGATGAAGAACGATCACACGCGATGCCTATCGGCGGACCGGTTCACCCGAAAAGAAGAGCGGCTTGTTTCCTGCGAATTCGCACGAGCGAGTCACGCGGGGATGCGGCGCGGCTCCGCAAAAACTGGGCCGCCGACGTGATGGATTTGGGGGCGACACCAACGGCGGCATTACCGGCTGCAGCAGTGCCAAAAGAAACCGTATCTATGAAATGCGGCAGGATGAGTTAGGGCCGTATACATATTTGTGACATTCATGAGCGGCCAACAAGGTTAAAACGATTTGTAATCAGTAGCCTGGGGATACGACTGCACAGTACAGTCCTCCAAATCAAAACCATGGTATGAAAGCCACGGTTTTTACTAGGATCAGCCGAAATCAAAGCCGGTGGCACGTCGCAAGAAACACAGCGCACCTAATGGCAGCACATTTCCTCAGCCGCTCGCACGCTATGCACAGGCACCGTCGCCCAGCTCAGGCGGAGAATATCCCTTTGGTGAGCCGTTTGTCGGGATAATATGACCACGAGGGTTGTGATGTCTTATCTCAGCCACGAGCTACTCAGATGCAGTGTTTCCTGAATTCTTAGGATTGCTTGCTGCAGTCGGGGGTTGCCTGTCGGTTCAAATGCCTTATGCACAACATACAGGAGCGCCTCGCTTGCATTTCTGGCCTGGCCGTTTGCAGGTTTCGCCAGAGACAAATAAAAATACACAGTGGGTATGATCTGCGGGTAACCGGATGGATAAGGCATAAGTTACTCCGGTCCAGGAACGTCACTAGTCAAAGGAGACTATCTCCACCTCTGCCCGGCTCTTGTGGCCCTCAGCGATGCGAAAAGCTATTGGTTCAACGTTGGGGACTTGGACCCCAAATACCCGAGCAGTAGTCGGAAGTCGGAACCCTCAGATGGATTGCTGCACCACAAGCCAATCGCCTATCATGATCAAGATCAGATGATTGGTTTATATCATAAGGGTGCAGCTGGCCATAATCAAGACCCTTGAGAGGCCGTTCTGGTTATCACCACCCTCATCTAGCGCTGTCTCCGAGCCTTAAGAACGCTGTGCCCTCAGCCGCGAGCTGCTCGCAGCCAAAGACGCGGCTTTTCCGCGGCATGCGTGGGACGGGGGAAAAATACTCCTCCAAGCCGATCCATTCCCCGCACTGCCGTAAGGGTAATATTAAAATTTCACGGAGAGTAACCATGCATTCGCCCGCAGCTCTCTCAGAATACCGTGCTCGCAACAAACCTGCCCCGAGTTACCACCCCGGGGAGGGGGGGGGGGGGCAGCTGTACCAGCAAACCTCCACAGCCGGCCACAAAACTAACAGCCAGCCTCACATTTCCGGCGTCTTCAAGCCTATATATATATATATATATATATATATATATATATATATATATATATCCGTGGACCCGCAACATGCATGTGTAGGGGATACAGACCAGCGAGACACCCTGTGGTGCTATGTCCGATGTCTATGTGCATGACGTGGCTAACTACTCCCCGTCCGGAAGCACGAGACGGGAGACATTGAGCGATCTGGCAAAGATCGTAAGGCCCTGCCAACTGGCACAGAACCAGCCAGCTTTCTGGCGGCGGGTTTGCTTGGCAGTGGTGCGCAGCCAGACGACCCCGCGTGCCCTGATCACCAGGCCGCCTCCGTTTTGAGGCTCGCGATAAGACATGAGACACGTCTACGTCGCGTGTTGTATTGGTAGAGGCGGAGCGCCAACATGCTTGGCGGCGTCCACCATCCCTTCAGCACGCGCTCTCGTAAACCTCGCGGGCACGGAGCCGACACTTCGTCCCGAGACCACGGTCCTTGACGGACCACGGCTGTTCTTGACGGACCGCACCAGCCTTTGACGGACCACACTCCATCATCGGTCCTTTCTGACGGCCAACAGACGGCGCGGGCCATTTATCCAGAGCCGAACCCGCGACACACCTGCACCACAAACGCTGCACCTCGCGTGGCTTCTGCAGCACCGTGTCAACGTTCGGCGCACTGTAGCACTTAGGTGGCGCCACCAGCTGACGGCGCAGCGCACCAGCGGCGACGAGCGTCATTATCAGCCCGCCAGAGGGTGGGCGGGCCAGCGCGTTAGTCAGCGGCGCCAGCCAGCGGCCGTCTACCAGCACCGGCGGCCAGCACCGGCGGCCAGCGGCGTCGGCCAGCGGTCTGCCGAGCCGCGGCGGGCTGGAGGAGGCTGCCACACCGAACGCATTAACCACGCCGGCCAGCGCAGGGTCTGGACCAGGTTTCGGCAAGCCGCCCTGGTCCCCATCCATCCACCTGTAGTTCTGGGCTGCGAGGCCTCTTCACGACCCTCGTCGCCTCCTGCCTACCAGTGAAGTCTGACGAGGCATTCCTGCTGCCGGTCCCCATTCATGGTCTCGACGTCTTCCGTGTGCACCTCTGCTCACCGGCAGTCCACCTTCCTGTCCACCGCAGCACCTCGCACAACGCCTCCCCCGTGCGCTCCTACTCCCCGGCCTCCTGCGCACGCCTCCAGCCGCAGACCTCCCCTGCCCTGTCCAGGCCGGCGCGGTCACCGGCGGCCCCGGCGACCGCCTCCGCGCTTCTTGTTGCCCTGCAGCCGGCGCCGGACGCCGGTCTCGCCGTCGTCACCGCCGTCGTCCTCCTCGTCGGGCCGCCGTTTTCCGCTTGCGGCCCGTCTCCTTGTCGCCCAGCGACCTCAGCTCCTGTCGGGTCACGGCCGGAGGTCACCGGTCAGGGTCGGCGATCCCCGCTCTGTGACGGCCGAGGATAGGACAGCGAGAAACCGCCACTGTGGTTGACGTGTTAGCATTTAAATGTGAGAATAACGCTCGGTCGCAACTGCGCAGAAGCCCGTCTACGGAAGCCAACGACCGCCGACCGATTTCCAAAGGCCAACGTGAAATAAAGACATTGTTTTTCGTTTCATTTTGTCTCTTCTTTGGACTAATCACCTGGACAACCGTCGCCGACGGACGGAAACGGGCATTCCCGAAAGCGACGGGGCCGCGGTTTACGAATACGGAGACGTAGTGTATACCGGATAACATGAGCACGGTCACAAACACGAGCCGGTACAGCGCTAAGGCCACTCCCCAACTCCCGCCATCCGATGTGGAGAAAGCCGAGCGACAGCAGCGTCCGGGTGAAGAGCGTGTCCCGGGGTCAAACCGGCGGCGCGTCCGGTCGGCCGTTGAGGCGGCGCGTCAGGTCGGCCGTGGGTCGGTGCGTCGGTGCTGACCTGTTTGGCGAGCCGGTCAGCCTCCATGACCCGCTCCTGGAGCATCATGACCTCGTCCTCGGCCGCCGCGTACTGCGGCAGCTTTTTGCCTACCGGGCCGCGGGGCGACGGTTAGTGGCGGCCACCCCGCTCGCGGAGGGTCAGAAGCGGCGGTGGACAGGTGACGGGCGCGGGGCGATGGCCAGTGGCGGCCACCCCGCTCGCGGAGCGTCAGAAGCGGCGGTGGACAGGTGAGCGGGCGCGGAACAATGGACGTGCGGCCACAGAATGAACGCCGCAGGGGAGGGGGAGGGGGAGGGGGAGGGGAGGCGGGCATGTCAATGGCAATGTGAATGGACAAATGCAGAAGGCACTGTGTTCGATGGGACACTGCAGGAGCGTCCTGGAGACACATCAGAGACAAATGCGGTGATGGGAAGACAATGATGTCATACACTATTCCCCTACGTTACGGGAGGCATGCCAAACAACCAGACTAAGTGAAGAAAACTCTGGATAAAAGTCAAATGAATTCAGTACTTCCGCATGGCATGGTCTGCAGCCACCACTGCAATGCTGCAAAGACAACACACTGAAATCACCTCTGTAAACAAATATCATCTTATAAACATTCCCATCCTTCCGCAACTTTTCAAAGTCTGCAATCTGTAAACAGTACCCGCAAATGGTTTTTAGCAGCCGTTCCCCATCGCACCCCCACCACATTCTGCGGGCTTGTAAGCGCGCGTACCCCCAGTCCCGCCCACTCCTTTCACTGACCGATGAGGTGTTCGATGCGCTGGTACAGCTCCACGTCGTACTGGGTGACGAACGTGACGGAGCGGCCAGCGCGGCCGGCGCGCGCCGTCCGCCCCACCCGGTGGATGTAGTCCTTGCTGTGCGTCGGGATGTCGAAGTTGACCACCACGTCCACGTGCTCGATGTCCAGCCCCCTGAGCGGAGCGGCACGGCCAGATGTCAGAGCGGGGCGGAAATATGTTTGGGCGGGACGGCCAGATGTCAGAGCGGGACGGACAGATATCCGAGCGGGACAGCCAGATGTCAGAGCGGAACGGAGAGATGTCAGAGCGGGACGGTCAGAGTCAGCGGGACAGCCAGATGTCAGAGCGGAACGGAGAGATGTCAGAGCGGACGGACAGATGTCAGCGGGACCAGCCAGATGTCCGAGCGGACGGAGAGATGTCAGAGCGGGACGGACAGATGTTCGGGCGGGACAGACATATATCAGCGGGACGGACAGATGTCAGGGCGGGACGGACAGATGTCAGGGCGGGACGGACAGATGTCAGAGCGGAACGGAGAGATGTCAGAGCGGGACGGACAGATGTCAGGGCGGGACGGACAGATGTCAGGGCGGGACGGACAGATGTCAGGGCGGGACGGACAGATGTCAGGGCGGGACGCGCAAGCCTACTGCTGACCAAAAACTGACAGCCAAACTAGTCACGCGTTTAGCTATCGGTTCATTCCGTTACAGCGCACAGGCCGAAGCACACTGAGGTTCCGGTGAACAGACTCGCAAGTCCCCACAGGATCTGTGCCGATCTGAAGCACCCATCTGAGTTATAACTCCAGCCCGGACTGACACTGACTGCAGACGACGGGCGGTGCAAGCGACACCGACACCCGACCTCGTGCGGGAACCGGTCCGCATCTTATCACATCCAACTTATTCTCCGCCAGCATACTCTGGTGTCAAGTTTTAGTGGCCCAGCCTATATTCTTGACAAGCGAGTGACGTAGTTTGGAGTGCTGGCAAACGCCAAACGATGCGCTGCATGAGCTGTAATTTGCCCAGCCCAGGGGCCTGCCTGTCACGTGGGTGCAACAAGACTCCCGTCTGCATCCCGACCAGCCGACCCCCCGAGGCCAAACTCACTAAACCGACCATTACTATAGGCCGTGCTTTAATTCGCTTTAGTTTGTTTCAATGCTTTAGTGCGGCCTAGCAGTCTCTCAAATCTGGGACGTTTGGCAACACAACACGTAACTGTGAGCCGATCCAGCAGCCCAGCACCCGGCTCGACCCGCTCTCACCGCATTCTCTGCATCCTCGCAGCCCAGTTTCACGCCACGACACCCTCAGCAGCCTGGCACGGGACCAGCAGGCGTAGCAGCCGACCCGGCAGACCGGTCAGAAGTGTGTGCCGGCCAGGGTCAGCCCGGCGCCGACCGACCGGAGGTGTACCCCGGTCCGGGTCAGCCCGGCACCGACCGGCCAGAGGTGTGCACCGGCCTGGGTCAGCCCGGCGCCGACCGGCCGGAGGTGTATCCCGACCAGGGTCAGCCCGGTAACAACCGGCCGGGGGTGTACCCCAGTCCGGGTCAGCCCGGCACCGACCGACCAGGGATGCACCCCGGCACCGACCGGTCGTGCCCCCCTCCCTCCGGCTCACCTGCTCGCCACATCCGTAGCCAGCAGGATGCTCTTGTTCTTCGATTTGAACTTGTTGAGCGCGCCCAGCCGCTTGTTCATGGTCATCTGGCCGTGCAGCGGGATCGCCTGGAGAGCCGGAGGCGGCGTCAGGCCACGCGCCCCGGTCCGTGCCGCAGCTCGTGACGGGATCTCGTCACACTCGTCAGGGTAAAGGGGCTGCAAGTGCTAGCTGGTGAGAGCGCGGGGCTCTGACGCCACGCGGAGAGGTAGTGCAGAAAAAACTGGCCAAAGGCTCTGTTTACCACGAATGGCCATTGCCATCATTGATTTATCATTCCTAACTTCATTATAGCACTGTTAATATCATTCTATAATTAAATATTATCATCATATCATCGCATATCATCATATCATAAGTGTTATGCCATCAATTTCAAATGCACCTTTGTGACATTCAGTCATGCACTTGTTAGGGGAAAACCATAAAAATCGCCCGCATTCCAGCCTTTGTCAACGCCAAGGCAGCATACATATTTGGTTCCAGTACCCATGAATTTGCTTACATGATGAAATCACAGGGAACAAACCAAATCAACACGAAACCGGCGAGTCACGCAAAGTTAAGACGCCATTGCAAGGCCACAACCCCGTTCACAGCCAACAGAAGTCTCGGCCATGGGATGCCTGTCACTAGTGGAGGCCAGCTAGGTTCAGGTCAGGTCGCGGAGGGCACGTACCGGCAGGCCGAGCGCGTTCAGCAGGAGCGAGAGACGCAACGTGTTGTTGCACGTGCCGCAGAACACCATGAACGAGTTGCCGGCCAGCTCGTTCAGGATGTGCACCAGGTACACGTCCTGCGGCACAGCCAAGGTCATGGTTAGAGGTCACGCCAGAGGTCAACGCGCCGGCAGCTCATGACGAGGGCCGAGGGCAGATTAATGGTCGACTGTCACGGTCCATAAGAAAGGACACGGCTTGTAAGAGCTTTAAAGAAATTGAGCACGACATGAAGCACTTATGCAAATTCATGGGTGCAATTGAGCATGCTGTGCATGGCTGTGCAGCATTTTAAGGTTATACGGTCACACAGCCCTGCACAAGGAGCAGGCACCCGCACCTGCACAGCACCAGTCATCGCTTGCAAAAAACTTATCAATCTAATCAACATGACAACTGGATATAACTACGAGATCGAAAGGAAAAATGTCTAAACATTACCAAACCCGTATGACATAAGGCAAAATGAAGGAATATCTGAAGGAATATCGCAAAATATGAGCTCACGGCCCTTCACAACCTTTCGAAACCCAGCGAGGCCCAGCGACACGGCAACAGACCAAACAGGGCTGCGTGGTACAGAAGGCAGGCCCCCCCACCTTGTACTTGGCTGGGATGAAGAGATAGTACTGCTGGAGCTTGTCCACCGTCTGGTACTTGCTGGAGACCTCGACCTTAACGGCGTCGCGCAGGGCCGCGCGCTGCAGCTTCTTGACCTGCCGGCACCGCCGAGGCGGCGTCAGAGGACACACACGGGGCCCGGTTCGAATCCCGGGCGCGACACGTTTCAGTGGACACGACGACAGCGGTCGCGGCGGACTACAACAGGAGCAGACTCGGCAGCTATCCTAAAATATGAATACCACATTGTTGGGGGCAACTGATCCAGACCCGCTTCGCTGAGGTCTGGAAGATACAACTCGCTGCTCCACCCCCAACCCACCAGTCAAGACCGGACCGCGTGGTGCCGACGAACAAACTGTTTAAAGTATGTTACTGCACGCACATCATTCAACTTTCCTACTTCGTATGTTTTGATGACATGGGCGGCGACGCAACATCAGTCATGCTGGTACATTACGGCGTCATTTCCAACTGCGCATTGCTGAGGGGCAAATGGCGGCGATCGCCCAACTGAACAGGGATCAACATTTATATTTACTTTGTTTAATGAAATAAACAAAGGAAAACACACCGCAAAATGGCCGCCGGCAGCGTCGCTGCCAGCCCGCGACATCCGCCGCTTTCGTGCATGATTGCTATTGTTACAGAATCCCTGCAAATAGGAGCACACCTTCTTGGTCATGGTGGCGGAGAAGAGGAAGGTCTGCCGCTCGCGAGGGATTGCCTTCACGATCTTATCCACTTCCACGCCGAAGTCCATGTTGAGGATCCTGTCCGCTTCGTCCATCACCTGACGTCAGACGTGATGTGACGTCACGCATGACGTCACACGACGGACGCCATGTGATGCGGCGTCACGCGAGGGGAAGCCACACCGTGGAGCGTGAGGTGAGCCGGCGCAGCACAAATGGCGCACTGAGACCGAAGGCATGTGGCGTGGAAGGCATGTCGCGTCGCTACCAAGTGTGACAGGCCATGGCAGTATGCAGTCTGACGAGATATAACAAAACGTAACGTGGCGCACCATGAAGACAACGCACTATGTGACCCGACCCCACACATGCAGCGTGGTGACAGCACACGACGTGGCCCGACCCCACAGATGCAGCGTGGTGACAGCACACGACGTGGCCCGACCCCACACATGCAGCGTGGTGACAGCACACGACGTGGCCCGACCCCACACATGCAGCGTGGTGACAGCACACGACGTGGCCCGACCCCACAGATGCCACAGCTTGGCGTGGCGTGATGGCAACGCATAACATGGCCCGATCCCAAAGATGCCACAGCATAACACTGCATGATAACAACACATGACGCGGCCCGACCTCAAAGTTGCCACAGCGTGGGAGATGCTCAGTGTTCTCCGGCGATTCACGTGACTCACGAGACACTTGAGCGACCTCAGCGAGAAGCCCTTGGTGTTCTCCAGATGGTCCACCAGTCGACCGGGCGTGGCGATGACGACGTGCGGCTTCTTGGCCAGCATCAGGCTCTGCGCCATCATGTCCATGCCGCCCACGATGACGCAGCACTTGACGCCGATCGAAGCGCCTGCGGTAGGAGGAGCAGCGCAGTGGTGGCGGCGTCACAGACAGACGCGGCGTGGACGGCGCCACTGGCCACCGTGCAGCGATAAACGCAAAGGGAGTTCTCTGAAATCATAACCTGGCTGAACAGGAGCATGCCTGCAAGACCAGCTAATCCATCTTGAAATTTTAACATGTTGCACTACAACTTTGAACTAAAATTTTGCCGTCCCTCAGCGTTAATCAACTTCACCAACAACTAGTTTTTAGGCTCTCTAAAGCCCATACTGCTTTCAAATACTCTACTTCCTAGTCAGCCTTCCTCTCCGCCACCTCAGCCATGGTCCAGCACTCACCCAGCGCCTCAAACTGCTCAGAGATCTGGTACGCCAGCTCCCTGGTGGGCGTCAGCACGAGCGCGAACAATCGCTGCGGCGCCTCCAGCAGCCGCTGCAAGATCGGCAGCGCGAAGGCGCCCGTCTTGCCCGAGCCCGTCTCGGCCAAGCCCACCACATCCTTGCCTGTGGGGACACGCAGACAGGGTTTGATGCAGGGACGTCAGGGGACAATGGGGGCTGAGTGACTCGGAAGCATGGCACAATGGTGGAAGGGTGCGCGTATCTTTGGTTTGAGTAGTGCAGTGCAGGCACATGTTTTTTGTCGCGACTGTGGTGCATGGTATGTTGGGATAGCAGTGGTCACAGCAGGACATGTATGGAGGAACGCAATACTTCAATAAGCCAAAGCAGATGGTGGCTTTAGAAGACAGGCTGTCAGGACTACTCACATCCTTTGAAGCCTTGTACATTTGAAACCTGATTGACACACTCTTCCAAACTAATAGGCAGCTATCACAGGCCTAGTTGATGTGATATTTGGCCTGAACTCTGGACATTCACAAGGCACAACCTGGTGAGGATGCCATAGATCTCAAACTCATGGAAAGTGAGAGGATTCGAATAGGGCAAACTTGGAGAAAAAAGTGATGACACATCTTTAAAAAAGGAGTACCATAATTTAAAAAAACAAGTAAGGAGAGTATACATGCAGTTGGCATCATGTGTCATTACCTTGCAGAGCAACAGGAACAGCTTCACACTGGATCTGAGTTGGCTTGCTCCACTTGAGCCTCTCTGTGGCTGTGCAAAGCACCTCAGTTATGCCCTGCAGGATGCATCAGCTAGTCAGCAAGGCATGCCAAAGCTCCAGATGGGACATGATACCTGAAGACAGTGCTGACTACACAAACATCTACATGACTCCAATGTGCCTACACCTGGCCACTAGCACATAGCACAAGACATAGTATACCAGACATCTGATTAAAAACTCTACTTAACATTTTAGCATGGTTCCATCCATTTACAAACATTTGTAGTGGAATGGCGAAGTGCCAAAATAATACTTAAATGCCATGTAATTCAGCTTACCAAATCAGCAAATGCCAGCTTGTCTTGGTAGGCTTCAATCTTTTCTGAGCCATCAGGGGCCGGCTCATCATCAGATGACATCTTAATGGCTTTGGCAACAGAAAAGCAGGATCTTTTACTGACCTGGGGACATTTGAAATGTTATGACATTGCCCATCAGCACACACACTTATCTTGTATGTTCTCTGGGTTTAATATGCAAATGCTCTTTATAATTTAAATGTAGATCCAACAAAACATGCCAAAAACTGAAATATTTCATGACAATGGCACTACAAGTTCTAAAAATATTGGTATTTCTATTGAATATAAACAAGCTGGGATGTTAGTCGGCCAATTTGTTATGGCAGACATTCAGTTTTTTATACATGCAACTGGGTGAGAGCACATCAGAACAAAAGGCAATGAACAAGATCATCATTTATCACATTAACAGATGTCACGTACAATGTGTACCATTTTTACACTTTCTTTAGCGCAGGGCAAGTCTCAAGTGCAGAGAGATGCGCATCCAGCCTCTCCACATGCACCAAGGTTCAGAAGTTGTCTATTCTGGGAATGTGATGGTACTGATAGTGAAATGCTTGCAGAAAGACACCATGACATACTGATTGATGCAATCTGAGTTCAGAAGAGATATGCATACATTTTTTGCACCCATGCTCTGTAAACAAAATATGTATACTGCACTGAATGCCTTCACAACATTAATGCACTGGACCTAAGGCTTGTGTGTCAAACTCCAGTCAGACTGCATCAGAAAATGCTTTGGGATCAAATTTGGATACTTCTTTAGAAGCAAAATTTAAATATTGTCCATCTCTACCCTGGAATTCATGTAGCATGTGCACCAAGCTCTGAGCTCTTTGAGTGTGTGTGTGTGTGCATCATTGGCATTTTATGACACACTTAGCTGCTGATGCTATATGGCGTCGCCTGCCTCTCAACCTGGCAGGAAGGGCGGGCACTGCAGGGAATTGAATCCCGCGCCTCTGGTTCCCAGATGTGCAGTGGTTAGCAGACGCGTTAACCGCTACACTACCAACACCCTTCTGAGCTATTTAATTTAGCTGAAATTGTGACAGCAATGGTTGCTGCCACACCTGACACAATTCATGTGACATATGCATTATGCAGCCTGGCCTATACCTACTGAGTGTGGAGGTCTTTCTTCATCATCTCAAGTCTGGTGGCAAATATAAAAAACATCAGCTAGTGTCTCCATACCTACAAAAGATTGCCATAGAGTTTTGATGCACTGAACATGCCTTTTCAGCTGGCCCTGAGCTGTGCATTGCTTTTCTCAAAATAGTTTCCCATCAATACTTTGTACTGGCCTGTGCTCATGCCAGTCTTGGTTCTCCAAACACATCATGTCAAAAACTTCAAATAACAGTCACAAGATACACATAGAAAGCCCAACTTGTGTTGGTGTAACACTACCAGCGAGCAATTTACAACATATATAGGCTACCAATAGACATATATCGCACGTACAATACACACCTTGCGTTCCTGAACTGACTATTTTCCTAACCACAGACCGTTAACAACGCGATCTCTCTCCCAGAGGCCTTGACCTATCGCCTTGGTCTTGACTGGTCCTTGCCGTACGAACACAGATGCAATCTGCCGCACGTGCACTTCGTCAAAATCAACCACATTTGGCACGTATTATCTGCGCCAGAATACCCAAACTTCTATGCTACTAGTTCATGGTGCCTCCAAACTATCATACTAGAGTACTACTAGACGCATTCTTTTTAGCGGTGATCTGATCGGTAGTTTTGTGTAGAGTACGCTTGTGATTCACCTGAAATGAATACTTTAATGGTTTTTCGTGAATATTAAATGAAGTTATTTGTATTTTACCGCGAAAAGCTCCTTTATCAAGGCAAAGTATAGTAAAGCTGAAATGCATACAGTAGCACACCACAGCGGCAATCCGGTTACTATAGCAACGGAGATGAGCCGAACCAGGGTGCGTAAGGAATTGAAATAGAAATGTCTCGGCGGTTTTCGGGTTTGGTGCGGTTTGATCTGTGCGCTTACGACGACTGAAATTGAATTTACCTGCTTTGACACAGTGAGTATTTTGTTGCGGTGCATGTACGTGGACTCTTGCAGAAAATATATTACATGCGCAGTCAATTGGTAACACGGCATGCATGTCCGAGGCTTTGGAAACGACAAACAGTTTTAACAAGGACCGGCCACGTATAATGACAAAAGAAGCTGGAATGCGCGAAATGGAATAGGAAACGGCTTAAAACCCATTCTGCGGTCGTTTGTGCTAATTCGCTCGCGCATTTCGTATTCGTCGCGATGTTTCCGAATCGTGCCGACATTGCTGCAACCATCGGTGTGTACAGCTATGATCGACACGGTTCCGTCCGTCAGGTTTTGCCACTGTCGCGATTAGATTCGACTGCTAGCTTAAGTACGTCAGGGGCAGATCTCCTCAAATCATATGTTTTAACATGCCGCATCGTTTTGTTTCCAGATTCACGATGGATTTCCAATACGTTTACATCAAGAAGCGCTCGGAATTTGGGCGACAATGTTTTCTTCAACAGCGAGCCAGGTGTGAAGTGAACCGGTAGCATTTGCCGCACACGTACATGAGAATACCGAGCGTAGCATGCGGCGAATAGCACATAAAGCACATTGGCAACGCGCTGGTGAATGCAAGTAGTTGTGAGTATGGCCGCAGTGCGTGCTATGTGCGAGCGCTTGATAAGTCTGGAGGCATCACGCCCACCTTGTAGCATCCCTTGCAATAGCTCTTTCTGTTATGCACATTTGTTCACCTGATGGTTGGCTCAGGTGAAGTTGGTGTCAGTGTAGTCGCTAAGTACAGCTTATTCTTGGCCACTAAACCAATCTACGAAGTGGTGGGAACTACACATGCTCGACGGGAACTACAAGTTTCAAGCGTCATGACGCTGATAGGCGCGCCCCTTGTTAAAGGTTCTCCATTGCCAGTCGGGAAAAGCACCACCTTGGGTGGAGTTCGAACTCACCTGATGAATGTCGTGTTCCAAGGCAATGACACAGCATCAGCTACTTTGATGACAACATCCGGCGCTCAATTAACTGCCTTTCTAGATACACAGTGCATAATTGAAGTTGTATTTTCTACAGTGTTCTATTGTTTAAGTTGTTAGCCACTCGCGAACATTTCGATCCCTCACGCACCTACCTAAGCGCGCTGCTTATCCGTCCTCTGGCCCGGATTGCGTCCCTGCCCCACCATGTGCCGTGAACCGGTGTGCTGGACGGGCGTTTGGCTGCTCGTCTCGCATTTGTCATCACAATCAGTTCCGGTTGAATACCGTGCTTAGTCTGACCTCTGGGATGCGGCAGCGCGCCGTTAGCATCCAGCTCGTGCCCGCCCGCGTCATACCTGTGACCCTGACCTCTTACCCATGCCCACCTCGCGTCATCACCCGTAACACTGACCTTTGACCCGTGCCCGCATCACGCCATCACCAATAACACTGACCTCCGACCCGTGCCCGCCTAGTGTCATCACCCGTAACACTGACCCCTGACGCGTGCCGGCAACAGCCGCCATCACGTGCGACAATCGCGCCGAACGCGGAGCTGGCCGCCAAGTTCCTGCACGTGAACCCGGTGCACCGCGGCACGCAGGTCGGCTGCGAGATGTCGGAGCATGAGGTCAGTCAACGGCTGCCGCGTCTCTTCGGCCCACCGGCCCGAGAATCCGCCACGAGCCCGGCGGGAGCGAGGCTGTCGGATGTGCGAGGCAGAGCACGTGCTCCGGCTAGAGTTGACACATTGTTTGATGCAACGTGTGATCTGGTCTTCGACTGGGGTTGGCGAGGCGTTCAGCGGTTGTTGTCATGTCATGTCACGTCTCCTGGTGGCTCATGTCATGGTTGTCATGTCTCCTGCGTTTTCACAAGGGCGCGAAGTAAGACGATGCCCGCGTGGAATTCAGACGCTGAAGCGCACAACTCGCACAACACGGTGTGTTTGCAGTACGATGCTTGAGATGAGCTGGGAAAGTCTCAGTCAATGGATGGCTATGCTTCGGGGCACACCGGGAACCGAGGATCGGGGCAATAACTGGTAGAGTGTTAACCGGTTCACGGCAGCCAAATAAGGGGGAAAAATACAAGTGCAAATCAGGTGGTCTGTAACGCAATTATATCCCTTCGATTCGAATAAGTTTAGCAATGGAATGACGTCCTTTTCACCTTCAGTAACGGCCACTGCCACCGGCCACTGACACTGATGCTAGTCCTGTTGGAGCACTGGTTTAATGAGGTGAAAAGGGCTCGGCAATCTTCTGTCTTTCTTCGGGCTGTGGGCGGTGATAGCTCTTATGCCCTCAAACAGTATGCTTCAAGATGAAGACGGCATCGGATGCAGCCTTGCAAGGACTTTGCATGCTTCCATTTTTGTTTTCAACCGACCTCTTTCTCCCCCGCGCAGGCTCCCAGCCGGTTTCGTTTGACCCCCCCCCCCCCCCTCCCCCCTGTCGTGACCTGATGTCAGGTGAGCACGGACCGCGCCGAGTACGCCACAACGGGCGTCGATCACACCGAGGGTGGCTGGCCCAAGGACATCAATCCCCAGGACGTGGAGCAAACGACCCGTTTTAAGAAGAAGGTGGAGAAGGACGACGTGTACATGTCCTCCGTGCTGCAGCTCGGCTCGGTGAGTGTCGGCGCCGGCGATCGCCGAGTGGTTGGCGCCTTCGGTTCCGACTTGGAGGTCCGGGTTCGAGTCCCGTTTGCACCATGGCTCCTGATCGCTAACCTCTGTAACCTCTGTTAGTAACCTCTGTTAGTAGCTGGCGTTCCATAAAAGGGTTCACGATGACGTACGCAGCGTTCCCTTCATAAAAGCTCGACGAATCCCTGATGCTAGGGGAGTGCCGGTGACGCCGAGTGACGGTATGTCGGAGTTTGTAGAGGACCTGGGTTCGAATCCCGCGTTGGCGAAATGTTCAACTAGTCTCATTCCTTGAACTGGTGCAAGCATTGGCAAGCTGAGCTGTAGCAATGGCAACTTCATGGAAAAGAAAAAAATTATTTTGTTTGTTCTTATCA